ATATTGCATAAATAAATAATAATTTAATCAGTTTGGAAAGATCAAAATGTTTTTTTCTTTCATTGGAGTTTGTTTCTAATGGTTTTTTTTGTCTCCTTTATACTTTAATAAGGATCGCAAGAAAACCTGGAGAGTCCTATCATTAAAAATCAATATCAACTAATTAAAAAAAAGGACAAGAGATGGATCGTGGTGTGGGATTTGAGAAAACTCCTTGAATTTGGATCCAAACACAAACACAGGAGCTGTAATAAAAACACTGAAAATGAGTAGAGCAGGGAGTAATCCTCTCTTTTAAAGCTGCTGTAAGTGGGATGAGCTGAGCAAAGGTGAACAAACGATGTCCCTGTGAAGACGTCTCCTCTCAGGGTGACATGATGGACATGATGGGAAATGTTTGGAAGTCTGGAAGGAAAYTGTGGCAGCTGCTCTGCATCCATCATGGAAGAAATCAGAAGTCATCTGATCACAATGACAGATGTGTGACTCTGGGAAACACTAAGCTACATGTGATCAACATTTACTGGTAAGTTTATTTACTTCATGTGCTTCATATGTGAGTTTGCTCATAATGACATAAGGATGATAGATTTGAGCCTCAGATGGTGGTTTAACATCTGTTTRTAACTTTATTTTTGCTGTGACATCCCAAACACCCTGTTTTAAAAGTGAGAAAGCAGTAAAATGGATTTGAACAGTGACACACGTGACCAAGATAGTTCTGATGAGGACTGTTCCTCATTTAGTCCCTGCTGTACGTTCAGCAGTGTATTTAACTCTGATCCACTTACTCCTCAGTAAAAATGCTCACTGAGCTCATGAAGCCGCATCACTGGGCCTCACAACAACGCTCTAATCTCCGAGTCCTGCTGCTCGTCAACAAGTGAAAGGTTCACCTTTCAGAGGCCTTGCACAGATTTCACTGCAGGAGAGGTGTCTGTTAGCAAAATATCTCATGAACCACTTGACTCATWTTAATGAAATGTCTAAGAAATAATGATTAGATGTACAGCAACAACTAATTAMGTTTTGGAGTCAATCCAATTCAAGATAGCTGCTCCTGCCAACTAAACTTAGACAGTTTTAACATGGTTTTAGTTTAGTTAATTTTCCAGAAATGTTGCTAAAACTTGGTGTGGTTGTAGCAGGAGGTTATTTACAACATAAACTCCAAGCGCTTTGCGTTGTGTAAGATTTTTGCATAAAACTTTAGCAATCATTGTCAGAGCTGACTATGTTTTGTGTCTSTTAGCAAAATATCTCATGAACTACTGTGCATGTTTTAATTAAACTCTTAGATAATCATTAGGTGTGCATCTACAACTRATTAAMTTTTGGAGTTAACGCAATTCAATGTTTTCCACAGATAATCAACCTTAGCAAACACAAAAATGTCTGTAAATCAGTCAGTTGTGCAGATATTGAGCTTAAGTTTGGTGTGGTAGTAGCTGACAGTCATACACAACTCATGCTCTGAAAGTGTCATGGCATAAAAACACACAACATAGTTTTAAGGTGTGACCAAAGCTGCTAAAAGTCCATTATTTCTCAAYACGAGGCTGCGGGTGACGTGTATTCCTTCAAGAAATGCCAAGCACCTAACTTAACATTATGACTACTTATCTTTGTTTTACTAGAGTATTAGTGATATATTTTATCAAATAGATGTGTGATATTCTTGTAGATGTGAAWAGAAGAGGCCAAGTTCTCTTGCTCTCCTGGAAGATGGCCGCTGAAGAAGAAGACCCCAACCTGGGTCCAGGCCCTGATGATGACTATGACCCTTCTTCACCAGGTAGGGACTGTGACTCAGACAGCGTCCTTTCTGATGACTCGGTGCTTCCACTCTACACACGGGAGACGCCAAACAGGGGCGAAGCATCGACTCTCTATCAGGCATGCRCCTGCAACAACCGTCCCTCTCTCAGGAAAGCCCTGCAGAGGGGGGTCACCAAAGACGAGGTGATGGAGCTGGACATCAACGGCCGGGTGAGAGTTTCATTCATTATTTGGGCAAACGTTTTAAACTCGAACATCGGCAACGTGACGGAGCTGTACCATGACTTTACCTAACAGAACGGCTTGATGGTGGCGTGCTTCAGTGGTTTTGTAGATATGGTTCACGAGCTTCACAACTGTCCTTTTCTGGACATAAATCACCAGGACAGTGAAGGCAACACGGCGCTGATGATCGCATCTCAAGCAGGTGAGTCGTCTCATGAACTCTGACAGCCGAAGTGTAAGAATATCTCAAGAAGGARGTGGTAAAGCCTTGTGTTCTTACCTGCAGGTCACATCAACACRGTGATGTACCTCCTGAACTACTACCCTGGCATCGACACGGAAATAAAGGACTGTCGAGGGTTCACGGCCCTCATCAAAGCCGCCATGACCGGCCGCAGTGACGTGGTGGCAGCTCTCGTAATGGCTGGTGGGTGAGAACAAATGGGGATTTTATGTTGAGATTTATGCATAGGACTTCTATAAATTAAAGTATATGGGATAAGTGTGTAGTTCTGCATATACTATTTAGGTGACTTATATGACCTAAGCCAGAGCAAACCATAGACAATGTGGTGCACTAGGTAAGATTTCAGGTGGCGCCCCTTGTGCGGTTTTCCAAATCTCACTGTCAATTTACATCCACTCACATACWAATTTGAAAAGTTTTGTCTTTGATATTATTGTTTATCTTAGGTCCAAATTTGTTTGAAACAGAATACCAGAAGTCTACCTCATACCTGCCAACATCTGCTAACTGTGATGAGGAACACCTGTTCATAACAAACAGCTGTGGAGTGAAGCAGTTCTAGGGGGAACAGTGGTATACTCCCCTGGACAAAATTGTAAAAGATACACTCAAAACTATGCATTTTCCAATCATTTGAAGAGCATTTTTATTAAATCTTAGGGTTATTAAAACAAAATATTTTTAATTCAATTTCTAAATGGCATTAAATGGATTCTATACCTGAAGTCAGCTAACTGGTGATGAGTTGGGTTTAGGATCATTCTGAAGTTATTTTAACTTCCTGACAGCTGGATTGCTTCTTATCCTAGCTAATTGTAGATGGAGTATTTTTCTGCACATTTCCAAAACCCATTGTGTGTTTTACAAGTTTCTATGATTTCAAATCCTTTGAAGGTGATTCTTAAAATAAGATTTGGAGATTTTGATTCTTGGTTCAGTTTAATACTTTTCAATTGAAGTCATTTTTAATGTAAAAAAAAAAAACACAAAGGTATTTTAGTTAAATCTGACTATACATTTTTGTGCAAATTGGACCAAATGCTGTTTTTCTACCTTGAATAGAAACATATTTCACGTCATTAAGACACTTTTCCTGGAAGAGAATCATTCAGACATGAAAAGTTAAATAAGTGTAATGTATTATTTATTAACAAAATCAGAAATTACTCCACTCAGTCCTGTTTTTATCCTCTGTCTTTAATTCCAGGGGCAGCCATGAATGCAGTGGACTCCTCTCGCCGCACATGTGCCCACGACTGGGCTCTCAAAACAGGCCGATTTGAGGTCATCCACCGTCTGCGCCGCCTGGCGTCGCGCCCGAAAGCCGAGCAGTTCTGTGAAAGCTACGTTCCCGAGTGGCCCGAGCTCAAGCAGAGRGTGGCCAAAGCCACGGCGCAGAAAAGCCCCACGGAAAAATTCACACTGCTGATCAAAAACACGTTTGGGTTCAGCTTTCCGCAGGACCCCCAGGACGACGGGGTCATGGACCACATGGTGCGCATGACCACCAGCGTCCACAGCCCTCTGGTTTCTACGGGGTGTCGCGCGCTCTGCCCCACCAGCCCTCCTGAGCTGGGGAAGAAGAGGGTCACCGTGCAGGAGCTGATGAGGAAACTCCCTCCGAAGGAGCTTGAGGAGAAATCGGTGCGCCACAGCAACGGCTGCGTGTCAAACGCCTGCCCCTCGGCCCGCCCTGCGGAGACAGTTTCTGGCTTATGCTGCCCTGAAACTGAACGCAGAGGCAGCATCCTCTCCCTGACCTCCACACTCATTCCTCGCAGTTTAGCGAGACGAAACAGTGTCTTCCCCGCTGGGTCTGTCCCAGACATTAGTGTGGACAGGCCTTCGGATTCAACTCCAAAGAAAGAAAAGAAGAAAAAGAACAAAGGAAAGGGGAAACTGGAACCACCCATGTGGACATACAGGGAGCAACAGGAAGAAAGAAAGAAGGATGTTTGATGGTTGTTGAACCTGGATGGAGGGATTAGTAAATTTAAACGTAAAATAAYACAGTAAAACAGGCCCTTGTTTGACCTGTATGACAGCAGCAACTTTATTTACAATCTTGTGCAACTTTTGTGACTTTTTTAGGGAAAAAATATTTTAAAAATGATGAAACTGAAATGTGTTAAATGGTACTCCACAAAAAAATGTTCACAGCTGCATAGCTGACAAAAAAAAAGAGCAGGACACAGATTTGTTCTTTATAGTCAAGATTTGAATATTTTAAAACATATGGCTTTATCATTTGAGTTTAATGTGTTGCATTAAATATATAATTTCTTGGGTTTCTTGACAATTGTTTTCGAGAAGGCTGTGCATCAGCTCAGCTATGGTTGTATAAACCTACCCTGCTACTGAGGAAACAATCAAACACAGGATCATCAGCTGCTAAAATTCTCACTCAGCTTCACAAACCAGTGTGAAGGTGATTTGGGGACAGATGTCAGAGTTAGAGTTTATATATCTGTTCAAGGGAAAAGAACACCTGCACTGAGCTGAATATGATGAATGAGGCTAAAAATAGTAGCCAAAACAAGGTTTTGAAGATAATTTTAACTTTTAAAGTGGAACGCTTCAATTACATTGTTATTCAGTTTGTAGCTTTAACACATAGCTTGACAGCACAAATAAGAAAACCAACTAAAGATGTTGAATAAATATTTAAATGTTAGAAATTAAAGATTTGATCCTAATCAAATTTTCAGTTTAACCTAAGCTGAATGGCCAAAGCTTATTTAACTAATAAAACAACCACCAGGTGGCAGCACTGAGCACTGTTACAGTAAACATCAGTTTTGATTGAAATACCTGAGATAAAAAATTCTCTTTTCAGTTTATGATCTGGCTTTCGCTTTTAAAATATGAAACGGAGCAAACCTATATTATGGGACAAATTGTTTATTAAAAAAGGTCCTACAAAATCAAACCATTAAATAAATTATCAAGGCTTAATTAGGAATGATCTAATGTGAAATGGTCACATCTTTTAGAAAATAAGTTATTTAACTGAATTTTCAGTGTTGACCCCAACAGAAACTGGTGTTAATGAGATTTTTATGAAAGACGTCCTTTTCTTGCGAGTATATTTAAAATATATCCCAGAACACCCTTTAACCTTTATAGAATATAACACCTCCATGACTTTACAGGAGCTTTAATGAGCTGCTGTAAGTTTGAGCATTTAATACGAGTCAACTTGTTTTGTTCGTCTACATTTTTTTATGCTTCCAGGAAATGAGGGGACCTGTTTCTTCAGCTGTATGTAAATCTGTTCAGGTATTGTTTGTGCGTAGCTTCATCTGCCACTCACACCGCTGCTGCTGACCACACACACACGCCAGTAAAACACACAGTTCTCAGAAAGATCTCCAGCTGGGTGTGGGTAAGGTGAGAGTGTTGACACAAACCACATCAGCAGCTTACAGCGTGTTCTTCTACTGGGTAATATCTGTGCAAAAAATACCTTTCCTCTGAACCCTGAGAGAAACTGAGATGAATCATTCTAAAGAATAATATCTGAGCTACAAGTAAACACTGTAAATGTGAAGTTGTTTTTCTGTAGTGTCGGTTTTTACTTTATTACCTGTCCAAGCCCTAAAAAATGAAGATGTTTCATAAACTTTTATTGATTGTTTTAAAATTGAGTTGCGATGCATACTAAAAACTATTAAATTGAAAAAATTTAATTTAACATTTTTTACTTTGAATATGGAAAAATCAAACTATGCTGATGTTTATTGATGCTTTAGTGATTAAGACCTCGAAACACAATGAACAAAAAGCTAAATAAAAAATTAAAATATCTGATGTTGATTGTCATTAATGACAGTAACTAAACAAAACACATTCATTGTTATTTTGACCTTAGAGCAATGGACTTGTTTTCCAGGAAAATAAAAAGAGATGTTTTCTAGAACTGAACCAATAAGAACCCTGGCATGATAAAACAAACATAAAAAACACGGGCCATAAGCAGGAAAGATTAATGAGTACAATCAGTTTCACAATGAGTCAAACATGACAACACAACGCAAAACCTGTCAAACAAAACATAAGCAATCAAACAAAACACTGAAGATTTAATAGTTTTCTTTAACAGTCATTTAATCAGGTTTGTCTGTGTTTCTGATCAGTTCTCTCCCTGGTTGTCACTTTGCTCTGTAACAAGTGTTGTTTTCGTTAACGATGACGGTTTCGAAATAAACATAGCTCTTTGATGACTAAGACGAGACGAAACGTGTGTGAGTTTTCGTTGACGAGACAAGACTGGACGAAAATGTTAGTCGGTGGTCTGTTAATCATTTAAAATGCAGAGTGGAGGGAGGGACAGCAGCGCTGTTACACACACGCGCACACACAACAACACAGAACATTTCCTCCTCTCATCAAGTAAAGAAGGAAGACAAACAGCCTGTCCTGCCTCGCAAAAAAAAGTCCGTCCATCACCTGTAGTTTAACCAGGGAGTAACRTCTCCACCATTAAAAGCTGTCGCAGGTCCATTCTGAGCGCTCAGAAGCTGTTTGTTTACGTTCATGACGAAAGTAAAACTTTTTTTTTTTTGGCTGGGGGGAGTTAGCAACTGCGCATGTCAGTGCTTCTGTTCTGAATAAAAGCCTGGGGCATGTAAACACTCGTTTGCACAAGTTTTAATAGTCTACTAACTAAGTTAAGGACTGCATGATGTCTGTTTTTATAAATAAGGTGCATCTTCATCGTCCTGGCTGACAAGTTTGAGTTGAACMTGTGTGTTCCCCTTTATTGCTTATAATATTGGGCATGTGTATTTTCACTTTAGCAAATTTTGAAACATAAAGCCACAAAGTGAGAATGTTTTTGTTTTGGACATTTTTTAGAGTAACAAAAATTCACAAATGTTAACACAAATTACTGAAATTAATTTGTAAAGACTAATATGTTGTCTTTTTTTAAGACTAAAACTAAACAATTTTTTAAGCTTTCGTCGACTAAAACTCGACTAAAACCATTAAATATAGAAGTGACTAAAACTGACTAAAACTAAGAAGTATTTTTGTTTAAAAAAAACTAAGACTAAGAGTAAAATTAAAATGGCAGTCAAAAACAACACTGCTCTGTAACTACACAACAGAATGTATTGTATTGTATATTAAAAGGCAAAATAAACATTCTGGTTTTTGGGGCAAAAAACATGTTTGGAATCCAAAAGGTGCAAAAATCTACAGAACTCAGACCATGGTCATACCTTTTTCACGTCATTATTTTTAAACATAACCAACACAACTTTCAAACGTTTCCAAAGTGTTAATTATAACAACACATTAAGCTAAATGGTTAATAAATACCTGAGTAACTAATCAATGGCTTAGCTAAGTGAACGAGTACATAAATCTGATGGTTAAATTCTTCAAACTGAATTGATGAAACAAACTAAATGAACAAAATAACTTCAGATAAATAACATATTTAAATGAGCGTATACAGAACAGGCCTTGAAGAAAACAGCTGAGGCGTCAGAACGACACACTACTTACTCTTCATGTGTCTGACACTGCTCTTAGACAAAATGTTTTGTTTGGAGGTTTCAGCCCTAAAATGGAAATGAAATGCTGATTTCACTTCATAAGGTAGTTAAAGAGCATGTGTGTAATCACATGAAACAAGTCACAACAGAAGCAGGAGTGGCAACGATGCTGGATTACCCTGACTGACCTCTGCAGAAGCTTCAGCTTTCAAATCTCTCTGAGACTGATGGTGGTTTGGAATTAGGCTCGATTTAAAGAAGCTTCTGTTTCCTGCCCTGCTACAAGCTGCTGCATTGCTAAACAAACTTCACAGTTTTTCCAGAGAAGTCTTCCCATGTAAGCATAAAAGAAGATGAAAATTATCTCCATTGTGCTTTTGTAGTTGTTTTCCCACATGCCTCCTTTTGCTGTAGTTTCTTCCTGAAGGTTATTCTGAACTCCTGCCTCAGTTTGTGCCTGTCAAGAACATTATCTTCATTAATGGAAAGATTTGAGAACTGAAAATTATTCAAATGTTTTTTACTGCTACAAGTATTACGTGGCAACTTTTAGAAAAACAAAACGAGTAAGCTTCTCAAGTTTTTGACTGTATTTACCCTAGTCTCCGCCAGTAAGCACGAGCGCCTGGAGGATATCTGAAAGGGAAACGATGCCCCTCACCACTTCATGCTCGTCCACCACCACTAGTCTGTGCACCTGGAGGAGACGGAGAAAAAAAAAAACATCTCAGTTACTCTCAGCTCTGTTCAACACTGGAGAAAAATATAAAAGTGGCAAACAGTTCTTAGATACTGATGGTGTAACAACAAAACTGTGTTAAATGTATAAAGATCTTTCTCAAAAAAAGTGACACAGCATTAATCTAGTTTGCATTATTTTTAATTTCACAAATTAAAATCTTCATTAATCACAGAATTAGAACAAAGATCAGCCTTTTGGGTCGGGCTTATTCCATTTGAATAGAAATGACTCCTCATTGCATAAAACTAAAAAGTTGTGATCTTTGCGAGAGTTCTGTAGTTACTCATAAATCTAGAGTTAAAATACATTCAGTAACATTTCTGTCTTCACTGAGGACAATCCTGAGTCGTTACAACAAATAACACCATTTCTTTTGATTGTTTTTTCAACTGGGTCACTGAAATCAACTTTACACAACAAAAAGATTAAAGTAACCCTCATCAGGCAAACTTTAAAACTCACTCTGCTGTATTTACAGTTTAGTGTTTCATTTTATTGCTGCCATGTGGAAAACYACAAACACATAAAAGGTTGGCTGTTTCCACCCATTTTAGCCCGCCAGAGCAGATTTATCTAAATCCACCACACAAAAACTAGTGATTGTACAGGTTTCTTTTCTTGTGCAATGTTAAAGGAGGTTACACAGACATCCATTTCTCACCTCAGCCTCCACCAGTCTGTTGATAATAGCCTCCAGGGTCTCGTGTCTGTTGCAGGTCAACACGCCCTCGAAGTACTGAGAGCGGTGCTTCAAGGCTTTGGTCACCGTCACATCCAGGTTGTTGTACGTCTTCTCTGCTGCCAGATTCTGTTACAAAGAAGAACCTAATGAATGACGCTTTTTTTAAACCACAAGTATATAATCACAAAACAACAGAAAAACTTAAAAGAAAACAGATTTCAACAGGAGTTTCTCTCAGTTAYTCTGAGTTTGAGTCTTTTCTGTCCTCCCTGGCTGCCCACCCTGAACCCGGTTCTGCTGGAGTTTCTTCCTGTTCAAAGGGAGTTATTTCCTTTTCTACTGCTGCCAATGTGCCACTCAGGATGGGAGACYGTGACAACATGAAGGTTCAACACAATCTGCTGGCTTACTTAAATAGATCATTTTTACTCATTGGAATTTTATAAGAATTTTGTACAGCGCCTTGAGGTGACTTTTATTGCAAATTATCAAAATATAAACTGAAGTGAATTAATTAAACATGATTTTTTGTCTTGACTGATAACTTCTGGTTGTTTTAATTTTGTGTTAAAGGTTGAATCCTCCCTTTGCTGCTACACTTACAACACTTGAGCCAGTGACCTAAAGTCAGGAAACATTTCTCCCAGACAAGTTATCAGTAGGAGTCTGACGCTCCGCATGGGATTTCTCAATCCTACAAATGCTTCTCTTCACTCTGAGGATATATTCCAGCTTGCCCTCATTCTGCACCACCAGTGACGCTCACATGCTCTGAAGAAAACGTTTGTTTAAACAAWCTATTTCTCACAAAATGCTTTTTATGCATGCGTCAGTTTGAAAAAGCAAAACCTGCAAAAAGATAAGGCCGCGTTGCAATAAAGAATTATCCTCATTTTCTTGTCGTAAATGTCATTTATTATGTTTTTTGTTACTATTGGATAATATTTTGTTAATGCAACCAGTTAAAGGCAGAGTTTTACTTACTATAACATCAAACTTTGAGTATATATCCACCACTCGACCTGCAAGACAGAAGTTACAAAAAAGAAAAAAAGTCAAGCGGTTTCTGTTTATTAAAACAAAACCTACATAGAAAAGATTTCAACTGGTCCACGTACCTTTGTCATCCACAACAGGGAGCGCGGACACTCGCTGCTCAACAAAAATACCCAGCGCAGTGTACAGAGGTGTGTCTGCACGGACCATCGCTATGTTTTGGAATGTCCCGATATTCAGTTCCTCTAAAGTTTGCTTTAGAAAAGCGGGTCTCGGCATCTCTGATATCTAAACACGAAAGGTTGCAAAGACTCAATGAAAATGTTGAAAAACTGGTGGGGTTTTTTTGGTATGTTTTTCTTGCTTTAGCATTATTACAACAAACATAAAACAATGAAAATATGTTTTAATATGATTAATGCATGAACTTACAAAAAGCTTCAGAAACTTAAGAATCCTCTTGTGTGTGAGAATGTACAGCGTGTTCCCAGTCAAGGGGTCAATTACAGGCAATCTGTGGATCTTGTTCTTCAGCAAAGATGAAACTGCATCATACAAACTGTGGCACAGCAGGAGAGAAACAAACAGGAATCAAAGCTTGCAGTGTGAACATAGCCAAAGATGAGACAAATGCTTGTACTGTTACTTACCTTGCATTGGGAGATATGCAAACCAAAGGCTTGAAAGAGTCTTGAAGGTACAACTCTAATAAGAGAAAAATGAGTTAATTCCAACAAACAAAAGAAGAAATTTCTGTGTGTTATTTAATGTTCTCACCTCTCCATGTTTCAATTTTGTGTTCTTCCAACTCATATATCTGAACCTAAAATTTGACAGTAAGAAAATAGCTCAAAGTTCTAAAAAAATAATTAAAATTGGGTAAAATCTCTTTGTATTTTAGATCACAAACGAGTATTAGAACTATAGGACCATAAACATCTTACCAAAGGAGACTTGTAGTAACGGTGAAGAATGTTGATGAAGTCTGTGATGGTTAGCATACCTGAAGTGACAGAGCAGAGGCAGAAAATAAAGACATTTTTTAATAAGGGTATCATTTATTTGTATAAAACAAAAGCAAATTAAAATCACTCTTACCCACAAAGCACTGCTTGTTACTGTCCCACAGTGGTGCTGCTCTTACCCCATTGGAAACAAGAGCAAAGAACGCCTTTTTCACCTGGAAAAATATTTACACAAATGATTCAAACGCATGTGGAGCAGTTTTTATTTATACATGAGACTTTGTTTTACCTGAAGTGAAGTATCAAATACAACTAATTTGGAACTCGTAGGTACAAGATCATAACAGCGGTGGGACTTCATAAACCTGGTGTAGACATTGTTGTCTCGGTCTGACAAAACGAGAAAAATCCAAATGAGGACACTCCTTGAAAAGTGTTTCTAAATCTAGCCCTAAAAAGACTTAACAAATGATTTATTTACCTTCAAAAACTGGGTCCTTTTTGCCCTCGAGATCATCAAAAGTTACTGAAATCTGAAAAAAATACCATTATGGTTCAAATTAGGGCTTTAAAAATTTTATTTTTGTGGGAGTCCTGTGGAGAAAGGCCAGTTACCGTGGCATTTTGCTAGTCCTGGTTGGTTTTTAGTTTAGATATATTAAACTAAATTCCTTTTGTCTATTCACTCAGTCTTCCTCAGCTGCATCCATATATWCATATATATCCATGCATCTCTAACATCCTTCTACCAATATACCCACTGTCCCTCCTCTGGACATGACCTCCCATTCATTCAACCTGTGCTGTATCTCTCATGATTTCATTCCTCATCTTATCCAACTTTGTCCTAAGGAGAACCTCAACATCTTCATCCCTRACATTTCCAGTTCTGTTTACTGCCTATTGTTAACAATGGAAATACTAAAATATAGGTTTGTAGACGATGACTAAATAAGAGAATAAGCTTAAACCATTAAGGGTTTCAGGAGCCGTTTTATCAACATTTTATCTTACAGTATTTAAATTGTTTGTGGTACAAAAATCCCTGCACTTTGTATATTATTGAGCAACTACTGAGGGAAACCTCGTCACAAACTAGCTAAATTAAAACTATTGATCCACTGTTGACAGCCTCACTGAAACCCACGGTAAGTCACGTAGGATACAAAAACGCTTTTTATGACTTRAAGGGACGCAGCTAACTTTGTACTTTATACCGACATGAGTCAACAAACTAGTTAAACATCAAACTTTTTAGTCCTGGCTGTTGCAACCACGTCCGCTGACACTGTACCACTACAATTTATGACTCATCAAAACCATCCTGAAACTAAAAAAAAAAAAAGGTGACTGTGTTTTAGCTTGCTAGCTAACCTCACAGAGTTAAGATGTGACTTTTTAATTATTTCGGCACAGGCCATTATTCCTTTATTTTTGAGTTATTTAGATGAAACTTCGCTAAGCACAATTAAAATCACAAACTGTCTTAAAAACAGTAATTGAATTAGCATTTCTTTCAGACACAATTAGCTCCAAAACTATTAACAATTAGCTCGCTGATTAGCAATAGCGGCTAACGATAGCGTGTTTCTGAAATTCGCGCTGTTTTAAAAGCTGTGTTTAAAATAACATATATGTAASAGCAAGCAATTTTACTCACACACTCCATGTCCCATTGACTGAGTAGTTTTTCTTGAACAGAGTGAACAAATGACCCGACCGACCTCACAAAGCCACGAAAGATCCTCTTCCGCTGAGCCCTGTGGTTTACCGTAATAACTGTGGTACTATCGCAACAACAAATAAAACAAAAAAAAAAACATTTATTTTGCGATTATTACCGTAAGCACATGCGCATTTCATTTAGCGGCTGCAGATTAAAGCAAGAACTCACTTTCCTCTTTTTTTTAAGTATTTCCCMCAAAAAATACACGGTCTCATGAAAACCAGGAGGAGAAGTGTCTGGAGATTTTTTTATAACTTTGTTTACTGACTGTGTTGACCCACGCATCTTCAGTGTGTTTGAAATGTAAACACCTGAATGTGCAATCCTTTGCACTCGAATGCACATTACCCAACTTGTATTTGGGTTATTTTGCACATACAGTAAGTGAAGCAGGAATGTTTGATTCAAAGTTTAAAGGTTTGTGTTACAAAAACGTGTGTTCAATCACAAAATGCATGACAATGTTGTTGCACATTTTAATTTTCTTTGTATATTTTGGTAAAAATTCCAACTTTGTGACCAACATTTTTTCTCAACAGCAAAAACCAGTTCAAGTCAATTTTAATACTAATTTGATAATATTTTCATTGCCAGGTGAGACTATAGTCATAATACCTATTTTTGGAACCTAAAATAATTACATTTATCAACCCAAGCAATGCAGCAAAATTAAGACAACCATTGAATAACATTTATTTATTTATTTATTTATTTACAAAATGGTTTACAGCAAGATTTCTGAATTATTTTTGACCCACAAGGGAATAACGGTGTTCAGGTGTACAACACCTGCACCCATGGTGTCAAGAGAGAGAGATGAGAGAGAGAGAGAGATGAGAGAGAGAGAGAGAT